GAATCTCTTCTAACATCTTGATTTCAGCTATCCTAATGGCTTTCCCATAGGAAAACTTACTTTATACAGATTTATTTTCATATTTATCTAAAGCTTGTAGGTATGGAAAAAAATCTTTCTTTTTTTTTTTTTTTTTTTTTTTTTTTCTTTTTCCCCTGCAGTCTGTTACATAAAATTAACCTTTTTTCACTAAAAGTGATCACCTTTCACCTGAGGGATTGCAGAAGCAGACTGCAGGAATCCAATTACCTGAAATCAACTTACAGGCAAGAAGGAGGCATTGTTCATGGAGATAATCTCTTTCTCAGGCTATAGAGATTCTCTGGCTCAGTGTGATGATAAAGATGTTCTCTCTGGACAGTGAAATTAGTACACATGATTTTGTAATTATGGCATGGGATACAAGAACAATAAATGCTGCAGGTCTAAAAAGTATAATTTTTGGCTGTTTAAAAGTAAGTGCAGAAGACAAAAGCAGACCCAAACAAACAGATGCAATCCTGGCCAGACTTCATACTAATATACTGCTTACAGAATGTCTTTTGCTGTTTGTTTCCTAAATCTCACTTTAAGCAATACAGTATTTTGGCTTGAAAGACAATTCAATAAAGTCCTTTTTCTTTTTTTTTCTCCTTCTTGTATAGTGTGGAGTGGAACACTTTCGAGTCAGACAATCTTAATGCTGCCATAGCAATTTTGTAAGGCACCAGAGAAAAATGCATCATATTATCTTTGGATTTCAGTCTGCTTTTGCTTCTCACAGCAATCAATAACCATTAGTATTATTGGTGGTAATATCCTCCTAGATAATTTTAGGGCTTTTCCAGAAATCAAAATACATAAAACAAAATTGTCACATCGTAACTTTTTCTCTTCTTCTTAACTTTAATAAATCTTGATTTCCTTTGAGGAAAAGCAAAAACCTGCCAATAGGGAGGTGGGATGAAAAGGCGATGACTCCTAGCTGAACAAATCCAGTATTTAGTACTGGAACAGAGAGCTTAAGGGCCAGAACAAATTGCCTTTGTGGTCTGGAAAAGTGATAGTCATTGAAAAATTGGTCATACCCATGGGTCAAGTTACTGTATATTTTTATGATTACTTTAATAGCCCAGCTCATGAAGCTCAGGCCAACCAGTTGAACATAATTTCACAAAAAGGGAGGAACTTTCCCACGGGTTCAGAGTATGAGTTCTGCATTAAAGGCTGCTAGAGCTCAGGAGCCCGGCCAGAGGAAGCCAAGAGCCAGCACTGTGGCTCAGCAGAAGATGAGCGTGGGCAGCCACCAGCCTCCAACAGCTCCCAGCACTGATGCCAGTGCAAGTGGGCAGCTTGCTCTGTTGGTTGGCTGCAATGCACTGTGGAGAGAGAGGCAAAAGGGAGAGCTTGACAGGTAGCTGTCAGACAGGGTCACAGGGAATGGGTATTCCTCTTTCTCAGTCAGCCATATCTCCTCTTCCTGACCTGCCTCTCCAAGTCACAGGGAGCAGTCTTAGGGCAGAGAGCTGAGCCTGCTCAGGAAATAGGCTGAGCAGATGAGCAGTATTTTGTTATGGATCAGCCTAACGTGAACTACCTGGAGCTGAGTAGTGTTGGGACAGGATGCTCTCAGAAGGGAGATCTCTGCATATGCAATTGTGGTAAGATTAGTTTGAATAGTCTCAATTGCACAAGAGATTTCCCCCTTATATTTCAGAATGGAGATAGCAGTGTGGCAACTTATAGATAAAAATGAAACCTGACTTAAAAATGATGACTTTCATAACTGTTAGAATCCATTTTACAATTTATTTTCTCTTGTAGATTTTGGAAGTGTGGATATTACCTGCCAAACTGTCATAAGTATGTGTTTATTAACTCACTGCACCTAATAAACAACAGGAAATTTTCATGATGAATTTCATTTTTGCCTAAAAAAAATTGATGATTTCTACTTTGATTAAATGCTAAAGTTTTGTTTTGCTGTTACACTAGACAGAAAATTCCAAATATCAGCAAAATGCTTTACTCCCAGTAATTTCAGTATTTCAAACCTTTGTGCTGGACTTTATTGATTGCTGACATAGTAGTTCAGGGTACTTTCTAGGGGGTCGGGCAGAAGATGATGGATGTCACTTCTTAAATGAGAAAACACCTAAAAGCTGGACTTTCTGTGGGTAGGCAGGATTGCCCGGGCTTGGGGAATAGCTGCTAGAAATAGTGCATTTTCCACTGGGATCTCCAAGATAAAGGAAACTTTTAAAGTCAGTAAAAGCTCGGTGTTTTTTCTGCTTTGACTGCTGCCTGCACCAGAACAGCTGTATAAGACAGAACAGTGGGAACTGAATCAGTTGTCCAGAAACGCCCTGTGCTTGTGGGGTCGTTGGCTGTACCAGAACTGACAGGCATTTCATCAGAAATGGAGGGAACCTCATTTATTCTAGAAGTCTCACCTGCCTGCTGGAAAGAATCTAATCTGTGCATGTACAAGAGCTAAGGGAGCTCTAATGGCACTGCTGAAACCATAATATAATATCCATGTTGAAATCATTCCATCTTTATCTCATTATGACTACAATTTTCTTCTATGTGTGAAACTTAAATGTCAAATTGAGGAAGTAGAGAGAACATAAACAAAAGACTGTGGGCATATTCCTATTGTTTCTTTAGAGAAATTGTACAAACTGCAGAAACTTGTAGGATGATGCTCCAAGCAAAATGGGGGGATAAAGTCTTCCAAAAGCTCCCTGCCTTTAGTAAAGAGCTTTTTATCTATGTTGGAAGAAAGATGCTCACAGGAGTATTGTCTATCATTACCACGTTCCTCTTCTCTTAAAAATAAAAAATAAAAATAAAAAAAATAAAAAAGGAATAGAGAACTTGTGGATAAGTGTATCTCAGCATGCTGTAAGTAGGCAGCATATAGACTAGAAGTACAATTGCTGGTTCAGAACAGTTATTTGCACAATCTTAGTTTTGTAACATGCTGAGTTTGAAGTTGCAGCAGATGTGCTGCTTGTAAGCAGTCCAAGTGCTGGTATTTGAGAGCTACCTTGCGTGCAGTCACAGCTCACAGACATATTGTGTGTCTTTTTTATTCTGCAATTAAAAAAAAAAAAGTCAGTGACTTCTAGGTTCTTCAGTACTTTTTTTAAGCTTTCTTCCATGTGTTACAGCATGCAGAATAACTAGTAGTTGCCCCAAGATCTGCTCTGTATGTCACTCTCTTAGTGTTATGTCACTGATGCTCCCCTTTGGAGGGGGAAAGGTACTCATGGTTTCTGGGTCGTGGGAGCAGTAGCTAGCAAACGAGTAACCCAAGATGCTAGTCAATGGGAAGCTCAGCATTAAGATGTGACTCAGTCATCATACCTAAAAGGCAGAGTGTTGTTTTAAAATGATACTCCAAAGTTTTGAGTGCTGTCTCACCCAAATGTACTTTCGTATCCTTTATGCTTTATGATCTCATACACATTGTTTTTGCTTTTTGTTTTCCCTCTGCTCTGTAACACTAATTGGATCAATGTTGTATAAAAAAAAAGATGTGAAATTCAAAGGAAAACTACTTGTAAAGAAATACTCAGATTTTTAATGTCACTTCCTGACAGGTTATCCCATATGGAGTTATTACGGTATCTTAGTACCACAATTGATATGTTTAATAATTTTCAGTATGTGTTTGGGTCCTTTTGATCCTTGATTACTACATTTAAAGAAAGATTACAAGGTAGAATACAGTTGCTTTTGAACATATGGAAAACACAGCCTTCCCTTTCCAGATGCATTCATTTTAACTCTTTTTAGCGTTCACTGTATCTGTGGTTATTTCTTTTTTCTTTTGAAATGCATTTATTGTTCTATTTCAAGAATGAATCATATTCAGTTGCCACCCCAAAATATAGCAACAAAAATGGTACAAATGATTGTCTGTAATCTATTATTACAGGCAATCTAACCTGCCAAAACAAAATTTCCATTTAATAAGGTGTTTTTTTGAAATGAGCCTTGTGAATGTTCCATGCTAACTGAAGTTGTTCACAAGTTCTGTATTTCAAAAAATTGTTTTATTTCAAGAGATCATATTTTACTTCGTATGATAGAAAATCCAATGGCATATGACTTCCACTTTGACAGTCTTTGCAGTCTCCACTGACATTTAGATCTCTCTAATAATGATGTCCAGATAAGATGATATTTATATTGCATATTGTTCAAAGGCCTTGTCCAAAGAGTAACATGATAGAGGTACTGTATTTCAGAAAGAGGAAGATTCTGGCACCTAAATACAGCATATATCAACAGAAGATCTGTTTTGTCAAAACCATTGTTTTCATTTTACAACCTAAAGGAATTAGGCAGAAAAAAATGAAGGAGACTTGTTTGTATCTCTGCAGCAGAGCTTCTTCCTTTGGAAATTCATATGGAGAAAATTAAAAGGAGCTGGCATCCTATTCAGTACTTAGTCCCAGTGCTTACTACTCTCATGTATTAATTTCTGAAGCAGAACAATTACAGAAAATAACAATTATTTGCAGCATGTTTCAATAATATTAAAAAATGGAAGCGAAAGTGTGAAGGGTCAGCAAATCTAATTCTCTGAAGACTATTTTAATCTGTTTGATTACACAGACACTTGCTTTGAGGCAGTCAATCTTGAAAAATTCCAGGGTAGTGAAAAGCTGGAGAACACAAGTGATTCTCTTGTAAATTCTGCTGCTGGACCTCACTGTGATGGCAAATAATTTTAGGCTTTTGTTTGAGGTTTTTCACTTGCACACACAGATGGAGGTGTGCACCCCCACACCTGGAAGGTTAAAGCCACTCTATGAAAGCTAGATTACTTGGCAGCAAAAATATCCAACCTGCAGTCTACTCTAAATGCATGCAGTCATCATATATTTTGATTATTTTGTATGAATTTTGTGCATGAGTATTGTTTTATTCCCTCAAGGGAAATTAATGCTGAATACTGATAGAGTGGTTGCACGTATAACCTGAAGCATACTTTTCTCTCCTTAAAGCACACAAAAGAAATGGGAAGGCCACAAACTCCTTTAAAAGAATCAACGCTGGAGCCATGGACTCAGCCACAGGTAGGGTGGAATGATTTTTCTCATAATGCTTTTTTTCTAATGGTGGTTTTTCTCAGTCTTAATAGAATCAATCTAAGGCTCTAAAGAAACATTGCTTTTAGGGTAGCTCTGTGGTTCTTACCATCATATGTCAAAATGATTTGTTTTGTTGTTTGGCTATCTGGATGATTGCTAGTGTTTTTTAGTTAAACTCTCAGGATCTGATTCAGCTTTTTTCTAGTGTAGAAATGCCACAATTATCTTTCCTTCAGCTTGTGTTCCTGACATGCTTGAAAGACTGCAAAACCTTACGAAGCCAAACCACTTTCTGAATGGAGTGTCAAGAAACTGTGAGCGTCTTCTGGCATAGAAATGGAATTTGTGGAGTGTTATTTTGAAAGGAAGGTTTGAGATTCAGCCTATTGTGTAATAGGATTTCTCTGAAAAGGAAGCAATACTTAATTACACAAAAAAGATAAAGAAAAGGAGAGATTAATGTGCAGCAATTCTGTTTCTTTACACAGAGGGGTTTGGATTTTTTGGTCTTGCATTTCTGTGTTTTCTGTAGCAAATCATTGTAAATTTCTGACATGCGGAAGTTCAGATGCATTTTTGCTGTTTATTTCCTGTGTATCAGTGCACTGTACTGCATTTTGAAATATGTGGCTTCTGAGTGATGGGAGGGAAGGCAAGAGACAGTTCATTGTGCAGATGAAACCAGATGTTGTTCTGGGAAAAACTTTGGGTCCTAAAAGAGAAGGAGATGGAGCAGCAGTAGAGATGAAGTGGGGAGCTGGAAGGCCCCACCTGGAAAACTAGATTGCTTCTAAATTCCCAGGGGAAGAGAGCTGCTGCTTTTATGGATGTGGGGGCATTTTTTCCTTCAGCAGCAGGTTTGTAATTTGTTTGGTACAGTGCTTCTTCTTGACACAAGAACCTTCCTCGACTCTGCAGTGCTCACTTGTTGCTAAAGGTAGCAGTGAATCTATATGTGTAATGTCAAAGTTGAGAATTTACTGGCAGAGATTGAGAGAACCAGGAAGAGGTAGAAACCTTTGCTCTGTAATTACAGCATTACTGTAGTCTAGAGCAGGCTCTGCCTTGTATTTTTAGGCTGTAAGCAATCCACCCAAACAAAAATTCTCTTGTTTAGTTTTAAAAACTTAGGAATCATAGAATCACCAAGGTTGGAGAAAACCTTCAAGATCATCCTGTCCAACAGTCCACCTACCACCAGTATTTCCCCAGTAAGGAATGTCCCTTAGTACAACATCTAAACATTTCTGTAACACCTCCAGAAATGGTGACTCAACCACCTCCCTGGGCAGTCCATTCCAATGCCTCGCCACTCTTCAGGAGAATAAATTTTTCCTGATATCCAGCCTGAACTTCCCTTGGCACAACTTGAGGCTGTTCACTCTCGTGCTATCACTCGTTATGCAGGAGAAGACGCCAACCGCCACCTCACCACAACCTCCCTTCATGCAGTTGTAGAGAGTGGTAAGATCTTCTCTTATCTCCCCTTCTCTTCTGCAGACTGAACAATCACAGTTCCTTATAAGATCCCTCACCAGCCTCCTTGCCCTCTCTGGATATGCTCCACGGCTTTGACATCTATACTGTAGTGAGGGACCTAAAACTGGACGTAATACTCCAGATGTACTCTACTCACCAGAGCAGAGTACAGGAGAAAGATTACCTCCTGCTCCTGCCGGCAGCACTGTTCCTGCTACAAGCCAGGATGCCCTTGGGCTTCTTGGCCACTTGGGCTTACTGGTGGCTCATGGCAGCATAGCCAAGAGTCGATCAACAGCCTCAGGTCCATTTCTTCCATAATTTATAAAGATACATGATCTAGAGCTTAGGCTTGTTTTAGAGGCTTGTTGACTCCAAAAGCATGTGACAAACAGTGTAGGGATTTGGAAATAGAAAGAACCATGCGTCTTTACTATTGCTTATTTTGTTCATGCTTTAGTATGTTTGCTTTAAAATTAATTGTGATGCTAACTGTGCAGGCTTTTGTGGGATGATCTGTACAGCTGATTCCAATTTGGTAGCATTGCTGGTAGTTCATTAAGGGTAAGTTCTTCACTGTAATCACACGAGGTATTTGTGCCTCTCTCCATGCAGAAAGAAGGCTATTATGTGCAGTCACAGAAACTTTGTACTGCAGGGAAATCCCTCAAATGTTACTCTCCTCTACTACTTCCTTACTATGGAAGTTGTTACTGTGCCTACATACAGCATGCACCCAACCTGCTTCTAGGTACTGCATAGCCAAAATTCCATGGCCAAGACTCCAAGCGCCTCTATCCAGACAGTTGCTAATCACAATCATTAGGAGTGCATTGATCTGTGTCTGCAATCAATAATGTTTATGCACAGGACCGCAGGAGCTTGCAATGGTCTATAGTTGCTAATAGGCAGTAGCTTCTTATGTGCAGGCACGAAAATATTGAGGAAAGTGTTTTGTTAAAGCAGTTACTGCTGAACAGCTAATGAATCGTTATGGAAGGATAGCAGATTCCTCCTGCTCCCTTGCAAAGTGCTGCAGGGAAGCGAAGATCCTGATGTTGGGGCTGAATTTCAGCTTGTTGGTACTCAAGGGAGAAGCTGAGTTTCTGAGCTGTGAGGATGTTGGAAGCAGTGTGATGCAATGATCACGGTGTGCTGTGGTTTGGTGCATGAATGTGGGTGAGAGAGGTGATCTTTTGCAGCCTGTTCTCCAGTGGGTTGTGCAACTGCTGCCTGTGTTGGTGAAGAAATATTCTGTTGGACTGTAGCAGTGCAAAAAACAATATTTGTTTTTCCATGTTCTTTCACTGTGTTACATGATCACTTCTGAAAACTGTGTTTGCCACTGCTCTGCTTAATAGGTACGTGGATTAAAATGTGAACTGCTTTTGTCATTCCTGTTCATTTTTGGAAAAAAAAATCCTGCCTTTTAAAAAAGTACGCACAAAGAAGCTAACACCCATATGCCTTTGTGTTTCATGGAGAGAAGAAATGTAATCAACAAAATCAAAAACTGCTGGAGCCATTATTGTTGCACAAAATTAAATTAGTTGTTAATTCTTTCACGGATGTAATTCTGGCCCTTGCAAATCCCTCCTTAGATATTTTGTATAAAGTGAGTAAAAATTCATGGCATGAATAAAAGCTTTGTCTATTTTATGAGCGACAGGCAAATGTTCCAAATGGTACTCATAAAGCAAATGGTTCCCAGCTCTAAAAGGAGGAGGAATATATTTAAAAGCCACCAGAATGAGTCGTGAGTAAAACCAACTCCTATTTACAAGACAGTATTATTTACATGAAAGTTTTTTGATTTTTATTTCTTTCTCCCCTCCCCCCAAGGGAAGGACTCACTACTTTTGTCTACTTAATAATAACAGTAAAAAATCATTACATTTTCTTGGGCTATTTACTGCATTTTCTATGTTCAGAGTTGCTGTGGGATACGTTTTATCAACAGAGTGAGTGAAAAAAAAATAGCTGAGAGCACAGCTTCAGTGTTCAGGGCCAAACAGTCAGTGAAGCAGAAAGCACCACATCTGTCCCCTAATACCAAGAGGTGAGAAGCTGATCCATATTAGTGGTTGGACAATTTCACGCAGAGTCTGACAGAAACAAACACAGTGCTTTCTGCGTGGAAGGAGGGAAGGCTGCGTGTTTCATGCTCTGTCATGGTTGTTTTTCTTTATTTGCTCAAGGATTCACCTCAGATGTAGCTGCTTAGTTGAAAAAAATTTGGAACTGAACTGCTCAAAATGAAGAACTATGGTGCTTTATCAGATTGACTTCTTTAGGGTAGGGGTTTTTTGTTTGCTTATGTTTTGGGTTTGGTTTCTTCTTTTTTTTTTTAATAAATTCTTAGAGCAATGTGTCATTGCCGAAATGGCAGTTCTTTTTCAAGGCCATGCCCTTTAACTTGCGTTTTTGTGCATCTTTTTCTGTGAACTCAGTAAATGGAAACTGATATCCCTACCTGAAAAGTGCGAAACTCATTGCAATAAATGTAGGACAAACCCTTTGCACATAAAGAATGTGTGCTAGTAGTTGACCAAATAGACTTGTCATTGGTTTACAAGCTTTATTTAAATGCTATGTACCATGTATTCCTCTGGTTATATTTTTGCCACTTTGTCTGATTAAACATTTAGCTGATAAACACTGCCAAGGCTGTTTACAGCTACTGCAGTTGAGAATACCTGCTTATAGCCTCTATGATTATGGCAGTTATACAAAGGGCAATTTAACATCAAACCAATCTTTGAGGTTTAAGTTTTTGAACTTTGCAGATACTGTTTTAAAATCTGAATTTTGTATTGCAGAGCTAAAAAATATAGTGATTGGGATTATTCAAATTCAGAAGCAGTTTTATGCTGACAAATTTCTAATTGGATAAAACTAGAAAGAGAGAATACTGATTTACCAAAATAAAGAAAAAGAGCAGTGATTAAGATTACCTGGTTTAAAACTGTTTAGTAGCAGAGTATTTTGATTTAAACTTTGTTGTTGTTGTTGTTGTTGTTAGATTCTTTCATGACTCTCTGTTCTGCATCTAGATAATGTCTGCAAGTGATTCCAGGAGGTGTTTCACACAGTGCAATATGAGAAGACAGTGTTACTAATGCTGGAGCTTTTCTTTACTAATTCTAACAGCTCCAGTTGCTCTTAGTAAAAAGCCAGGGTGAAGTTGCATTAATTTTCTTGGCCTAAATGTAGTGTAATTACCTTAATGAACACTTTTGTCCTCGTTCCTCATGCTCTTCCTTTTCCACGGTGCTGCATGAAAATGCAATCCATGAAGGTTTATAGTTCCCCCAGGAGTTCTCAGGGAAGGATGAATATCTGGGGATTAGAGATCTGTCAGTCTCAGGTAGCATACATCCACATGTGCCTCGTAAATAAGCACCATCCAGCACCAACATGGCTTTATTACCACCTGGTGTCTTACCGCAGCAGTGAGTGTGACCAGCAGGAGCAATAAGGTACAGGCTCAGGGAAACATTTGTCTC